CTGCTCTTGGGCAGAAATGTGTGTTGAGCTACGACTGCATGAACGTGCCCTGGGTTGTCTCAGTCTGGTTGTGGTTTCAGTTTAGCTGTGTCAGGTGTGTGTGATTGTGCAAGGTTGTTTCTGCAAACACAAAGGTGGCGTTTGTCAAACTCCGTTTGTGCTGCTGCCATCACATTTCATCGGCAGCTGCGTTTCCCAGTGCTGGTGGAGCGTGAGGCATCTTGGTGTTTCCTCGCAAATTTCTTCAGCCAGTTCCTCGCATCTGATAGCACTTCACCATAACTTTGTTTCTCTAAAGCCCCCCTTGTAAAGGATGCTGGTGAAAGGTGCTGTGTTGAGGTCATGGCTTGGTTGTTGAGGTGAATTCAAACTTCATCTTGTAGGTTTAGAAATGCTGGTGGGAAAGGACTTCAAGAAGTCTTGGTCCAGCCTCCTGCAGAGTAGGTGTTTTATCTAGTTGGGGCTGGGTTTCTGATGGATGTTTTGGCCAAGGTAGATTTTGGAATCTCATCCTTGGCAGTCCTTGGTTGCCACTTGCTGTTGCAGTTCATGCTGAAGAGTTGCACGCAGATGTGGGGACTCCAGTTTAGGTTTGTTTCTTTGCAGCCTGTGGGTCTTCTGTGTAGGTGCTCAAACTTTTAATTCTTGGTTTGAGACTTCTGAAGTCTCGGGGCTTTACAGTGCTCCTCCTACGCCCAGCAGTTGAACTTGCTGCGTTTTCGATGTTACTGGTTGGCTGCACTTGGTTCTCCAGCTGCCTGGTGTCATGTGGAAGGTGGAAGCACTTGGAGAAACCGATTTTGAAGTGCCTCGTTTCATGGAGGGGCTTCTCATCGCGGTATTTAAGCAGCACTCACGGTGTGGGAGACGTGTGGGACACCTGACTGTAGGAGAGTGAGTGTTGCAAAGCTGCGTCGAGACAGTGGAGACGGGACAAAGATGAGCCTGGATGAGTTTAACCCCTGGGCTGTGACATTCCCTGTTTGTGTGTGCCGGATCCCTGCGGCGTTGCCCGTCGTACGGCTGCTCCCGAGGAGGGGACGGTGGAAGGGATCGTGGGGTGCCAGCGGGCAGCCTGCGCCCCTGTGTCGGTGGGAATGGAGCCGGGACTGGAACCGGCCTCTCAAAACGTGTCCCTGTCTCAGGTCTTACAGATCGACGGACGGACGGACGACCCCGCAGCTGGGGAACCCCTCGACTCCGCAGCCGGCATCGCCCGAGGGGGGCAACTGCCACTCCCACTTGGAGCTGTCCCACAC